AGTGTGAACTGGGTAAACTTAAACCAGTGATGTTCGGTTTATCGAAATTCCTCCACCTCTAATAACCAGTGACCACCTCTTCATTGACGCACACAGTCCGCATTACAACACCGATTACCGGAACAAAATCATAATGTTTTTTAGCTTCCGTAACTTTTTTTTGTAAAAATCAAAATTAAAATGCCTAATAACAAAAGTAATTAAAACAATGCAAACATTGCTGCTAATGTTAGAACTTCGAGCTGGCACAAAAATACTTGGCAAAGTACTGCTCAGTGGCCACGGCCTGCTTCAGCACCTGGTACGCCTCTTTGATGGTCGACTCGGCGGCCCCTGACACCTGACTGATGCTGTACAGGGTGATGGTGGTGAGGAGAGGTGCTGGACTGATCACACTGCCTCCAGTCATCAACTGACAGGCGCCCTTCTTGAAGAGGCTCTCAACCGAAGAGGAGGGGAAGGAGGACGAGGACTGGACGGCAACGGAGAGGGCAATGGCCAGCGCANCAACTGACAGGCGCCCTTCTTGAAGAGGCTCTCAACCGAAGAGGAAGAGGTGGAGGAGGAGGACGACGACTGGACGGCGACAGAGAGGGCAATGGCCAGCGCGACGATGGTCGAGGGAGAGCGGCCAGCCAGCACACCCAGCTCATCGATCTTCTCCAGCAGTGCTGAGGACTGCTTTTCCAGCTCCAGTGGAAGGGCAAGGTGGCCGCAGAAGCGAGGCACGTAATCGGTCAGCTGTGGGCGCTGATTTGAGCTGCTGTACACTGTGTTGCGGCTAATGTTGTTGTTGCTGCTGCTATTTTCACTTGCGCTGTCTTTGCGAGTGACCAGCGGGCGAATCAGCTTAAAGCATCGGCCGATGTCCTTCACAGAGGCCTGACCAGCGCAGACGGCGCCGATCTCCTTAAAAGTGCGCGGAACCTGATGCTGGCGACAGGCGAAGAAGAGACAAGCGGCGGCGACGGCGTCTCGCGGGCGACATCGAACTGAATTGTGCGACTGGGCACACTTGAAGAGGAACTGCGCCGATTCGACGACCGGTCGAGTCGCCTTCAGCTTCTCCGCCATCTCGGCGATCTCCTTGAAGCCGGCCACCAGGTTTCGCTGAGCCGTGCTGAGGTACTTTTTGGTGCGGATCTTTCGATCGCTGCTGCCGTTATGGCTGCTCCCCGGGCCAGCAGAGCCACAGTCGACCTTCATCTTCTGCTGTAAGGTGGCAGAAGGGGAAGAAGAAGAAGTTATGATAGTGGAGGTGGTGTTGACAGCACAAACCGATGTGCGTCCACTGTGGCAGGTGGAGCTGATCATGGTGGGCAGATCCAGTCCGTCGTACAGAGGGCTCTCCTCGGCGCCGACGCGGCTGCGATTGTACGGTCGTTCATTGCTGAAGGTGCGCCACTCTGCCTTGACGTCGATCATCCGGTCACCGACGACCAGGCCACAGCCGAGGCAAATCAGGTCACCTGCCTGCGGGTCATCGATCAGCGAGGTGCCTGGTGGACAGTGCGGACAGCGCAGCTTGTCAGTGTGAAATGACATTTCAGGTGTGCTAAAGCACTAGGCAAAAACCTCAATTGTAGTATTTTACAGAGAGATATT